TTATATTTAATTTCAAAAAGTTTTTAGAACACTACAGCAGTACATCATTTCATAGAATTACTAATAACTTGTCCCCAACAATATTACCTATTTTCAGTCACAAAGTATTTTAAAACACTTTTAACTTTGAGTAGAGCACTTAAGTCCCACAAGTTGAAGACCAACTGTGTGTAACACAGCAAGAGACACAAAATAGTTAATAACTTGGGACTGGGGGCTGCATCTCAGTGATGCAGTACTGGCCTTCATACATGAAGCCTTAGGTTTAATCCTATTAACTGCCCCTCCTACCACCCATATATATGTAAACATACATAAACATACATATTACTACTCAACTTTAAGAGGATACTAGGAAGGAAAGAGGAGAGGTGCAAACAAGTCTCCAAGTTTCCATTCTCTTGAGTATTAGTTGTTGACAATCAGTTCAAATTATCAAGAAATTGTGTTGTTCGTTCCAAGACCTGATCCTAGGACTTCACATCATCACACAGCAGAAATATCGCCAAATCTTTTAATGTCTAAAAGCTAAGTAAATCCTTCCTCTATTAAACAAGGGCAATGACTAGTTTTCTAGTCACCACTCTCAAAATATGAACAACATAAGTTTTGAACCTTTTCCTTGTAAAAGATTTCATCAAGTTACACAGCTTAAAAACAAAACTTCAAGTAAAAGGCTTAATCAGGAAAGGATGGCTCAAAAATAAAATTTAACACTAAATGGACTATGAATTCAAAGAAAAGAAAGCTGGGCCTGATGGTAAACACCTGCAACCCAGCACTTTAAAAGGTGGAGGCAATAGGATTGTGAGTTGAAGATGAATGTATACTATATGGTGAGACCTTGTCTCAATAGGAAACAAAAAGGTAGAACTAGAAAATAATTGTCACCGTACTGTTTATTAAACATCATTCCAAAACAATTGTTGGTGTAAACAAACATATTTATAAATAAAGATAGTCTAACTCTAAAATAAACCACAAACTTTAGGGTATTTTTAAACAGTGAATAAGAACAGAACACTTGGGGCTGGAGAGATGGCTCAGAGGTTAAGAGCGCTGGCTGCTCTTCCAGAGATCCTGAGTTCAATTCCCAGCAACCACATGGTGGCTCACAATCATCCATAATGAGACCTGGCGCCTTCTACTGGTAATATATGTATATATGCAGACTGTTGTATACATAATAAATAAAATCTTTAAAAAATAAAAAAAAGAACAGAAACTTAAGAAGCATTCCCTTTACAAAATTCAGTAAGAAAAGTCTTTTATGGGTTTTTTTTAGTAAAATTATTTTAATAAAGATTTATAAAATTTCAATAAATTTTAACCCATTTTATGATACCATTACTTTCAACCAAGTAACCACATGAAATTGTCTTGAAAAATAGTAATAACAAGACACTGTACTCCAAAAAGAAAAGTATTAAGCAATAACTATAATATTTACAGATTATCATTTTAAATCCAAGAAGAAGAAAAAAGATCACTGATGACTAAACTGACTTTAGGAACAAAATAACGGATTCAGAATTACACATAGTAGGCTTATAAAGAATTTTTTGGTTTGTATGTTTTGAGCCAAGGTTTTACTCTGAAGGCCAACTTGTTTTAGAATTTACTTCAGTTGGCCCAAGCTGTCCTCAAACTTTGGTGGTTCTCCTGCCTCAGTCTCCTGAGGACTGGTATTAAAGGCATGAGCCTGTTTTCATTAAGAAAATTTTAACTAGCAGGGAGGCAGAGCTAGGTGGATCTATGTAACTTCCAGGCCGGCCTGGTCTACAATGTAAGCTCCAGCAAGCTGAGCAGTTACAAAGTAAGGTTCTGCCACACACCCCAAAAAACTAATTAACTGGATAAAATTAATTTCTGAATAAAGTTTATATACCTAGGTTCCTAATTAAAGTACTTCTAGTACCTTTCAATAGAAATTTGAGGCATGAAAACAAAATTTACACTGTATTCTAATGATTAAATTTTAAAAGAATTTTAGGGGGCGATGGCTCAGAGGTTAATAGCACTGGCTGCTGTTTCAGAGGTCCTGAATTCAATTACCAGCAACAGCATGGTGGCTCACAACCATCTGCAATGAGATTTGGTGCCCTCTTCTGGGATGCAGGCATACATGCAGACAGAACACTGTATGCATAATAAATAAATAAAATTTGTAAGATTTTAGATTAATTTTTATTTCATGTGTATAGGTATTCAGTCTGCATGTAAACCTGTGCACCATGTGCAAACTAGGCCAGAAGAAAGTATGGATCCCCAGGACAGAATGTTATGAGCTGCCATGCGAGTGTTGGGAATCCAACCTGCTCTCTACAAGAGCAGCCAATGCTCTTAACTACTGAGCCATCTCTTCAGGCTCTCAAGATCACATTTTTAGCAATTCATTTGTTTAAAAAAAAAAAATTCTGACACTTTTTGGTATCTTTAATGTATCTTATAAAATTCTTCGCAAAGTTTTTACACAGAACCACACTAAATTCTAAAAGAAAGCATAATCTAGCTCAAAATGGTCTTCTGAATATTTCTAATAAGGATAATATCCAATTCATTGGCTATGTTTTCTCAACACAATGTGAAAATATTCCAATAAGTGACTATTATTTTCAGATGAAGAAAAGCTGGTAACATGAAAGTTACAGAAGATATAAGCTGAAAAAGTGACAGACCTGGAAAAAAATAAATAAATAAAGCCACCCAGTTATGGTGGCACATGCCTTTAATCCCAGCATTTGGCCGGCAGACAGGCGGATCTCTGAGTTGAGATGAGCCTGGTCTACTGAGCGAGTTCCAGGACAGCCAGCCAAGGCCATACAGAGAAACCCTGTCTGAACCAAAAACCAACCAAACAATAAATCCTAGCACTAAAGAGGCAGAAAGAAGCAGTATGGTGCCAATTTGATCTACACAGCACATTCCAGACCAACCAGAGTTACACAGTGAAACCTTTTCTATAAATAAATTTTTAAATCAATCAATAAATAAATAAATAAAAGCAGCCATGTGGCACATCAACTTGTCAATATTATGGGAAGCAGACAGTTTAAAATATGAATGAGGACTAGAGATATGGCTTTGTTGACAGGGTATTTGCCTAGTAAGCACAAATCCCCATGTTTGATCCCAAGTATCGCATAAGCAAATATGGCAATTTATGCTTGTAATTCCAGCACCAAGGATGTAGAAGAAGGAGTTCAAGATCATCCTTTACTACACAGTGAGCTTTAGGCCCATATTATTATCATAATAATAACAACAAAACTACCTTTCCTCCCTACGTAGAGACTTTCACCACTCCTTTGAATGCTATGAATTACATGAATCACCAAAATGCGAATGAATTTATTCTACACCATATTATTTAGAGGAAGCCAAGATGCCTTACTGCTTCTACTTTTGCCTTCCTCAAACACTCCTAAAATCACAATGTAAGGAAGCTTGTCCATCTGCGTAGAAGTCATAGCCATGGAAGAAAATACAAGGAACCTACACAGAGAAGCCTAACTTATGACTAACTCATCCAGCACACCAAGTAAATATAGTACACGAATGAGCAACACAAGCCTGGCAAGTGGACTCCCATTCTCATAGAATGAAAAGAAACAAACTATTGTACTGAGTCAAATACAACACCACATAAATTGTCTCAATTCCTTCTTTTTTATAAACCTATTTTTATGTGCACTGGTGTTTTGCCTTGCCTGCATACATGTCTGTGTGAGGGTGCCAGATCCCTTGGAACTAGAATTATAGACAGTTGTGAGCTGCCATTAAGGTGCTAAGAATTGAACCCAGGTCCTCTGGAAGAGCAGTCAGTGTTCTTAACTGCTGAGCCATCTCTCCAGCCCCCAATTCCTTCTTTCTATGAATGCAATTATCTTCACAAATCTTAAATTACTAAGTTTCTGGAAATGCTCATAAAAATAACACATGCAGAATTAAGCACCTTGCCTTACCAAAGAAAACACTTTTTAAAATGTAAATATAATTTGTTAAGACCTGTTTGATGATTAAAAATTCTAGTCAGACATCTTTTTGAGGGGGAAGTGAGGGGGTTGAGGCAGTTTCTGTGTAGCCTTGTCTGCCCTGGAACTCACTCTGTAGACTGGGCTGACTCTGAACTCAGAGATCTGTGTGCCTCTGCCTCCCAAGTGCAGAGATTAAAGACATGCACCACCACTAACCCGATAGTCTGATATCTGTTTCTAAAAATGAAATTAAAAACTCCATGTGGTTCTTTTACCACAACTATTTTTAAATTTTATGTATATGTGTGTGCTTAAGTGTATGTTTTCCCATCACATGTATGTAGGAACCTGAAGAGGTCAGAATGGGGGTCAGACCCCCTGGAACTAGAGCTACAGACAGTTGTAGACCACTGAAGGGTGCTGGAAACAGAATGTGGGTCCTCTGAAACTATTTTGATAGTGTTAGGACATGAACTTGGACCTCATGCAAATGATAGGCAAGCACTCCATCACTGAAACTACATTATATGCCCAGCCATCAGTTTTTAAAGTCACAATAAATACAGCATAAAAATGTTTAAGTCATTTAAAATTTAGATTCTATGAATTCAATTATACATAAATTACTCAAATTTTCAACCTAAACTGTTATAAAAAGGTCTGGAGAAAACAATTTTGATAATACCAGTAAAATTTTTAGAAAAATTGCCATCAAACTGGGACATGATTGTGCACACCTGTATGTAATCCAAATTCTAAGGCTGAAGCAAATGAATCAAACCTCAAGGCCAGCCCAAGGATACACAAAGTTCAAGGCCTATAGACTTCAGGACTGTACAGTGAAACCCTGTCTCAAAGAAAAAAGAGGAAGGAAGGAGAGAGAAGGGAATGGAACAGGGGCAGGGTAGTCAGAAAGAAAGTTTACCATCAAAAATACCTAGTTTCCATCATTCACAGATAAAGAAATGACTGACAAGCTTAGTAGGACTTGATAAAAGGGTCACAGTACCTATTTTTACATACCTCTATAGTAGGATGAGTATTATGCTTGTAAGCAGTATATAAGGGAAACTGAATTTGAAAAATTTTTGCTACACACAGTAATAGTTTTTCCTTCTCATCTGTACTCCATAAACTAAAAGGATCAGAACTCTTTGAAGATTCTTCCTCAGACAGATTACAAATTCTTGTAGAGTTTGATTTTTTTTCTATTGATTTTTGTCTTTCTGCATTTCCTTCATTACATTCTCTATCTATACTCAGTGGTTCTTCTGCTTGATTACTCTCATCTTGCCACGTGGAATCTATGTTAACGGTAGTACAATGTTTACAAAGCTGGTCCCGGAGCACTTGAACTTGGGCAATCACTAAGTTAATAAGTGCACACACTACTTGGTTAAAAATCTCCAAATGCTTATATTCCTTGAAGCAGCACAGACATTGCCTATAAGAGAAAATAAAATGCAATAAATAAATGCTTCCTAGAGAGGGAACAATTATACATTTTAATAAGTAACAAAAGAAGAAACTTCTAAAATACTTAAAAAACATCAGTTTTCTCCCCTTTCTCCTAGGGTAGCACTGTACTAACTTCTAATGATAGAATCACAGGCCAGGTATGGTGATGCATGCCTGTAATCCTGGCATTTGGGAAGCAGAGAGGCAGGTGGATCTCTGTGAGTTCAAGGACAGCCCGGTTTATAGAAATCCTGTCTCAGAAAAAAACAAAAAAAAACAAACAAACAAAAACAGAAAAAATTTGCTTAAAGACTACTTGGGATGGGTATTCTGACCCTTTCTGGAAAACCAGACACATTCAGAAAAACAAAACACTCTCT